GCAAGGCATATCACCAAGCAATCCTCTAAAGGAAGTCATGTGACCCACTAAGATAGAATCTCAGTGTGTGCATTCCTCACCATTGTCCTCAGTGCAAAGAAAATATGTCCGGGCAAAGACGGCACTAAACCTTTACATAGACCAACTAAGCAGCACCATCATACTCATATACAGAGCAATGCCACGAAATAACATCAATTTAAATGATACGCACAAACGCAGACAACATAAAGATGGAAAAAGATAAGATACATCAAAACAAAAAAAGGAAATAAATATAGACTTAGACTTATCAAACAAATATGTAGACAAATGGAACTTTAATAGCTTGAAGACCCCAACCAATTACAAATATGAAAAAACAGGAATGATGGCTCAGGCAAGTGAGCAGAAAATTAGATGAAATACCTTTTGAGAAAGAACTGATAAAGATATATTTGACAAGTAATTCAAAAGGCTAATATTTACAGTCCTTAAAACTATGAAAAAAATACCCAAAAAGTAAAAACTTTCAGGAAAACAATGTAGGTACAAAAGGACAAAACTGATAGAAAAAAATAGAAAGCTAAAAAGAACTGGAAACTCAGAACAGAACAATAAAATAGCAGAACTAAACAAGATTGTGAAGGACACAGAGGTAGCAGTATCAACAGAAGACTCACCAACAAAGAAGATAAATTCCTTGGTGTAATTTTTTTCGTGCGACAATTTGGAAAAAAAAAAAAAGATGAATGGAAAATGAAGAAAAAAATAGTCTAACGTATCTGTGGAGCATCATAAAGAGAAATAATAGATGTACATTAAGAATTCCAGCAAGGAACAGTAAAAAGAATACATAAAAATCGTTTGAACATTCTGAGGAAGTGGTGTGGGGACAACTTAAGATCTCCTTCAGCTACACAGGCAGGAAGGAGAATCCAGCTCTACATCTATCCAAGGATGATTCCTATGAGATAGAGCTCAACCATGCCTCAACCCTCCATCCTTATTTATCCTACTTTGAGACCAAATGTCCCTCCTGTAACACTTTGCTTCTCTATTGGGTTCAATAAACCATTGAAATGACCTCTAAGAACTTACAGATAATCCTCATGAATATGGGTGCTTCTTAGGGAATTTAACAAGGTACCACAATTCAGGATCAGAAAACATTTAGGAAATAGTCCTTTGGCCAGAGCAATATCCTTGGTCAACCGTGATAGCAGCCGTACCTTCAGCCTCTCAGCCATACAGCCCTTGGCCTCTGCTCAGCTTAGACTAGTGCTACAAAGCTTCTGTTGATATTGTTCATTGCCACCAAGTTGATTCCAACTCACAGCAACCTAATGCACAACAGAACAAACACTGCCCAGTGCTGCACAATCCTCACACTTGCTCCTATGTTTGAGTCCGTTGTTACAGCCACTGTGTTGAACCATCCTGCTGGCCTTCCTCGTTTCTGCTACCCATCTATTTACCAAACATGATGTCCTCCTCCAGGACCTGGTCTTTCCTGGTAACAGGTCCAAAGAATGTCAGAGGCTGTCCCATCGTCCTTTCCTCTAAGGAGCCCTCTGGCCATGCTTCTTGCAAGACAGTCTGTTTGTCCTTTTGGCACCGACGGCACTTCCAGTCTTCTCCAGCACCACAATGCTTGCCTCTGAAGCCTTCTTAAAGTCAAACACTAGTGCTGCTTAACTTATAAAAATATCTCACATAAGCATTATGCACTTTTTAAAAAGCCTATTAGAGATGCAATGGATAATAGTATTTTGAGAGATTACACAGGAATCTTAATGGACAGTGAATGGATGTAATTGGGGAAGAACAACTAAGGAAAAAGGATGTGAAGGTCACACAAGTTAAACTTGCAGAAAATGTGGGAACTGTTGAATTGATGTTTGTCTTGCTGTGTATTCTCAGCAACAACAACAACAAAGACAAGGAACCCTGGCAGCATAGCGGTTATAAGTAGACCTGCAATCTGGATGGTCAACAGTTCAAAGCCACCAGGGATTTCTACTCCCATAAATAGTTCCGTTCTTGAAACCCACAGGGGCAGTTCCACCTTTCCTATAGGGTCGCTATGAGTCAGCACCGATTCTATGGCAGAGAGAGTGAGAGTGAGAGAACTCTAGATCTGCCACAGATATGGGGAAAAATACAATAGAGAGAAAGTTACAGTCTGGGAAACTCACAGGGGTAGTTCTATCCTGTCCTCCATGGCCACTATGAGTCTGATTTGACTTTAAGACAATGAGTTGAAAGGACTTTATTGGTAGATGCTCCTCAATTAGATACTAGAGGGACAGGACAGCGGCTGGCTGTTAATGTCAACCATTCTGATCTGGGAAACAATAGATGGTCCAGGATAGAATGGAAAACAACTGTAGTATATCTCAGTAGATGATAGATGATAGATGACAGAAGATGATAGATAGATAGATAGATAGATAGATAGATAGATAGATAGATAGATAGATGATAGATAGACAGATAGATGATGGATGGATAGATAGATACACAGAGAGACACACAAAGAGAGAGATTCTACAATTATTTCCCATTCTATCCTAGACCATCTATTTTATATATATATATTTGTATATCTCTCTACATAAAGTCTGACTTCTTGAATCAGTAGAGAATAGAGGAACCCCCAAGAATATTTCTCTGAGATTCCCTCTAAACCTAGAACTGAAACAACACTACTCCCAGAAGTGACTTTTCAGCTAAATAACAGACAAGCTCATTAAGAAAATCACTCATGACTCCTTTGCTCCTTTAGGGAAAAGAAATCTATAGGAGACCAAACATTACTTTGCAGCACAGACTAGAAAGCCAGGAAGGGCTGACGCTGTGTTACTAGTAGGAGAACCATCAGAACCGAAATATGGAGAATGTTGACAAAGTGTGACCTGTCACTGGGGAATGGAGAGAGACGTTGTTCAGTGGGAACCGGATGTGCTCTATGAACTTTCACCCACGCTGATGAATCCGTATTTCAATGACCAGAAACAAAGAAGTCACACCTAACTCCTCTGGGAGTCCAGGGTACCGTTTAGTCAACTCCTGTTTGAGATCGCTAAGTGATAGAACAAAAGCATTACTATCTGAAAGCTAATTATGACTCTGTAGTCATTAAATTTTTTTCTCTCCCCAATATTTTCATTTACACTCAAATAAAGTATTTTTCTGCATGAGATCCTGGGATAAATGAATGGGCCAAAAACGCCAGTTCTGTCACAAGAGAAGGGAGAAATATAATAGTAACCATAGTTTATCGGCATTCTTTAAATTTAATTAAAATGTGTCCGTTTCCTGTTTTTCACAAGACAGGAGTTCGTCACTTGCTGCATGTCATAGAACACCACGGTACCGCAGAGGAAAAGTAAACTACAGAGAACCTTACTGGACAACTTTTAGAGAAAGATCTTCATGAAGTGAATTTTCTGAGTAAAGGGCTCCACCAGGATTACAGACCACGTGTACCTTCATTGTGTAATCAAAGCTCACTGAAGCTAGGAAGACAATTGACACAGTAGCACATTCAATAAATAGCTCCAGTTATTATGATGCCTAAATGAAAGCAAAATGAAAGTTGACATTCTCAATTGTATATTTAAGAACTAACGATCTACCAATGGATAAAGTTAAAGGTCTGTTGAGTTTCATTAGTCTGGTATTAAAAATAAAATTAGCAACAAAAATAAATAAATAAAAAAATAAAAATGAAATTAGCCTCATCGACAGCTGAAATGAATCTGGCTTTTCACAAAAAAGTAAATGGATTTTTAAAAATGCTTTTCTTCTTATTCAGAACATTTCAACTATTTAAATATTTTAGATGTTATTTTTCAGAGAAGTAGAATCAATTCTCTCTATGCCTAAAGCACACTAGTGAGCATTCTGAATTTGCCGCCCTTTAGCCAAGGGATACGTCAGAGCAAAGAATGCCTGGAAGCTACATTGTAGAAAATTCCATTTTCTCCTTGAGAAAAATAGTCATTGGCTGTAAGTTGCTAAGTAAACAATATCAAGCTATTGTTATCCTAGGGCACAACAGACTCTTCCATGGTGGTCAAACAGGTACATTCACAAAAAGCATGTGAGCTCGGCCACGTTTCAGGAGCATTTACATCCACAGTCTCAGTTTTATAAGAAGGGGCTTCAAAAGTTCATGAAAAAGTAGGAATAAGAAATAATGATATTTTTCCAATTACTTTTTGAAGCCCCTTCTTACAAATCACACTTTCCTCATTCTTCATTCCAACATCTTTTAAACGTTTTTTGCTTTGAGTTGTACCCACATGATTCAGTATTACAGGGGGGAAATATTATTTTAAGTATATATTTTCTGATAAATAGTTTCAGAACATTTCCAAATTATTCTCATCTCTTCTAGCACACTGAGAAGGCAAATCTCTCTCACCATTTTGAATATCACAGATCTGTGAAAAATGAGGAGAAATCAACTTATAATCCAAAAAATCTTGATCGTTTCCAAAATTAAACTAAAAAAAACCCCCCAGTATATTCGGTCACAGTTTCTAACTCCAAATATAAATGGTTCTGGCTCACTATTTCTCTCTCTTCACGGTTCATCCTAACCTTGCCTGCGGCTCGATTCCACTGTACTTTCCATAGTATCCTTCTCCCTATTGAGTACCTCCAGACAAGTCCGATCCCTTCTTCCCAAAATACTGTCCCGGATTCCTAAGTCCCATTCACTCCTGGGCAAATATAATATCATCTCTTGATTAATAGCTTAGCACCTTCAAAGGATTTCTTTATATAAATTAAATGTGAAGAAAAGTTCAAAAGAAAACTGAAACGCACATCTAACATTTTTATTTAAAAACAGAATCATTCATTTTTAATCCTATATTGAGCTCACCATGATTCTCTATGTCAAACTGCTGTGAGTTATCTCATCACAATCATGCACTTCCTAGCCTCATTTTGTCTTTACTTTTCAACGGCTGAAAACACGCAGAACAAGAGAAGGCGTCTCCGCTTACCTTCCTGCAGGGCCAGAGCTGCTCGGTTCACTTTCCCACCGCTCCGTTTGACTTCTAGGAGTCGGGGGCTGCAGCATTTCAGCTGCTAGGGGGTCGGCATCATTTTCTTCTCGACCAATCCATTCCCCAATTACCCGGGGCCTCAGAAGAGAAGAATTAAAAGCCACCGTTTCCTGAAGACGAGAAGAGGATGTGCTATTGAAGAGGAGCGTTTATTCTTGCTATTGTAATCCTGTCTAGAGTTTGACTCTTACTCAAATCAGCAACCGGCACATTTCCCTTTTGCTTTTTGAATTGACTAAAATGTAAATTAAATTAAACTTCACATGTTTCTTGTTCTCTACGAGTTGTCTTATTCTACGTGATCTATGGTAACTCCTAGACACCAAGAGAAGAAAGAATGCAAGGGTGAGTCTGATTTAAGTGGAGAACAAAGGTGCTCATAGAAGGAGGGGCAGGAAGAGCGTCTTTGGCTTATAGTAAAGTGCTTGGGGGGGATGGTAAATGGTAAATGAGGGATCCACTAGGAGACTGATATAGAACAGCAGTAAGGGCAGGTATGGTATGCTAACTTAAATATTTTAAAGTAATTTATTTTCATAATATTGCAATGGGAAACAATGCATACAATGGCTCAGGATAATTTCTAAGTGGAAAAAAACTTTAAAAAGCAGTGTCTATTGTATATAATTTTTGTTTTAGAAACTCATACGGACATATATACACCTATTCTCCACTAAATGATCTACATATTTATTCTCTAATACTTGTGCTGGCAGAGAACATTGAAAGTGCTATGGACTGCTACACAAATCTGTCTTGGAAAAAGTACGGCCAGGGTTCTCCTTAGAGGCAAGGATGGGGAGACTGCGTCTTCAATATGTTGGACATGTTATCAGGAGCGACAAGTCCCTGGAGAAGGCTGCCATGCTTGTTTAAGTCGAGGGGCAGAGAAAGAGAGGCTGGCCCCTGAAAAGCTGGATGGGCACAGTGGACTCAAGCACAGAAGCGATTGTGAGGTGGTGAAGGACCGGGCAGTGTTTCCTTCTGTTGTGCATAACGTTGCTATGGGTCGGAATCAATTTAAGTATGCCTAACAACAACTATGTGTCAGCTACTGCTTGAGATGATGGGGCAATAACAGGGTGTAAAACGGAATTATTATGCAGTTTTATGTAGATGGAACTATTTAAAGTGTGGTTTTATGAAAGTGGAAATACGGGTCATTTTCATTTACTATTTTGACATGTTGATCTTCTAAAAATATTCTATGATAAATGTGCTTATTCTCTAATGAGATAAGATATGTAAATTTAAAGCTTCTTGATTTGAACAACACACCCAGTTCTGCTCAGTCCGTGTAAACTCAAAGTGAACATACAGGGCAGGGTAGAACTGCCCCAAACGGTTTCCAAGGCCAAGTCTTCCCACAAAGCAGTTCACGGGTTCATGACTCACTTAACTACTTAGGTGCTGAACTGTGTGCTTACCTACGGCACCATCAAGGCTCCCTCTGAGCCACACTGTCCTGACATAACTTATTTTAACTGTGACTTTTAGTGTTGTAATTCTTAAGAACTCAGACCTTGTCTTGCGAGTGTATGACCATTCACAAAAATACAATGCACAATTTCAGATGAAATAGTACAAGGTAGGCAATGTAACATACAAGAACCATGAAAACAGAACACCAAATGCAGTATGTGAAACGGTGATGTGCCCGTGAAGCACCTCATTGGAATGGATGGATCTGGAGAACATTATGCTGAACGAAGTTAGCCAATCACAAAAGGGCAAATATTATATGAAACCACAGTGACGAATGAAATAAATAAAAAAGATTGGGAAAAGATTTTCCTACCAAAGCGAGTGAGCTGAGAGAAGAAAAAGCAAATGGTGACTGTGGAAGGGTGCTAAGTTGGGTGTAGTGGCAGACAGTAATCTACGAAGGGGAGAAGAGTATCAAGGAGGCTGTGAAAGCTAAACTTATTGGGGGGGTTGTCTTAATTAGTAGTTTAAACCTTTGAATACAAAGCTGATGCTCTGAAATGTACACCCCCACCCAATTTACAATAAAAATAGGAGAAAAGGTTAAAAAACATAAGCAAAGTTGATGTTATGAGTGACAACCCCCATATAATTTTCAGTAAAACTTTGTTTAAAAAAATCACCAAGAAACAAACATAGAGCTCGAATAGTTGCAATGTTTCAGTTTGAAACGTTATTAATCTCTGAATTTCATTGTCTTCAATTGTAAAATAGGGATTAAAGAAATAACGAAACCTGTTGGATAAAATTAATTACTAGATAACTCAGTTAAGGCACCCAATTCTATCCATACACTGTTTTCATGAGCTGCCTTCCTTCCTGTCACTTACAAGGATTTAAGGAGGCAAAGTATATTCAAAGCATGAGACATGGCCGGAAAAATGATAAACATAATTGCTTGAATGGGCCAACTGGGGAATGATAGATGATGGTTGTCAATGTGGGCAGAATAAAAGAACTGCAAGCAGCTGGTGCAGATTCTCCTCTTATAAAGTTTTAGTTTACAGACAATATAGTAAGCAGGTTAGATAATGAATCTTATTTGAATAATGTGGCAAAACTGGGCTTGGGTAATTGCCTTGCTGTTTATTGAATCTGCTC